TAATGAAAAACCATAGTTCCCCATCCAGTTTCCAGATCTAAAGCTCATTATTGAAGGGAAGGCCCAGATCCCCTTGAGGAAGGATCATCAAGTATATTTGGTAAATATCCCCCTAATCCTTTCTCCAAGGGGCAGTCACGTACCATCATTTACCAGGGTAACTGTGCAATGGATAAAAAGGAATAGTCAGATTTGTTTTTTCAACCAAGGACTGTTGGATACAGTGCCTGACCTGACATGGATCCCAGCAGACCCAAAAGACGATTGTGGTTCACTGGTTAGAGTAGGGAATCTCAGTGACAAATGGAGTCCTGGCCAAAGTTCATCTCACAGAAGGTAAAATGGGTCTGGTCCCACTCTATTTCTACTCTCCCTAAATATACATAATTGAGCTAGATATACTTTGTAGCTGACAGAACCCCTGGACCTACACTGATGGCTCTTGCTTCTTGCCCCAGGGCTTCTTAGATGCTGTAGGACAGAGTTAATGACCTAGATGCTTCCCTTGATCAATGGGTCATGTCGACATAAAGTCAGTAAGGATATGGAATACTTGAACAATAGTATTAACCAACTTCACCTAACTGACATTTATAGAACACACTAACCAATAACAGCAGAAAACACATTCTTTTTTTTTTTTTTTTAGTGCAAATGGAACATTTACTAAGATTGACCATATTTTAGGCCATAAAACAAGGCTCAATATTCTTAAGATAATTCGGATCTTAAAGTATATCCCCTGACCACAGTGGAATTAAATTATAAATCTGTAACAAAGATATCTGGAAAAATCTCAAATGTTTGAAAATTATATAACACGTGTAAATGATCCATGGGCTAAAGAAAAAAAGTCAAAATGGGAATAAAAGCACTTTTAATTGAAAGGCAGTGAACACACAACATCGTAATATTTGTGGGATGCAGCTAAAGCAGTATGTGAAGGAAAATTTATAGCACCAAAATGCCTTCATCAGTAATGAAGAAAAATCTCAAATCAGCTCTTACCTTAAGGAACTAGAAAAATAAGAGAAAATGAAACTAAAATAGATAGAAAAGGGAAAATAAGACCAGAGTATAAACTGAAATAGAAAACAAAAGCAAGAGAGAAAATCAATAAAACCAATAAAATTTATAAATCTCTAGCCTAATATGAGAGAGCGCACAAATTATCCATGTTAGGAATGAAAGTGGTGACATCATTATAGATTCTACAGCTATTAAAAGGATACTAAGGGAATACCATAAATAACTATGCCAATTATTTTGACAACTCAGATGAGATGGACAAATTCCTTAAAAAAACACTGTGTTGTAAGTCTCCTTTGTGGGATGTTTAAGGATCATTCCAGTGCGGCCATGGAAATTCCAGAGAGGCATATAAAAATAAAGGCGTTATTATACTCATTTGTCCTAGAAAAGAGAGGCATGACATGCCACATGGGGGCTACATATAAGGTTTGGATGCCAAGGGAGCATGCTTGAGCTTAGAGAGAGTGAGGACCCATGGCCAAGTGCCTTTACTGGGGGTCAGAGCAGAGTACACAAGAAAACATGTGAAGGCATTTTATTGATGCTTTTTGAAAGTCATTAGGTCACAGTCAGGAGGTGGCAGGAACTAGCCTATCACCCTGGTACACCTGGTCATTTGGGCAGGGTGGTTATAGCCTATTTGTGGGGATATTGAGGCACCAGGAAAATATAAAGTTTAAAAAAATTACAATGTAGACAAAACTATCAAGCTCATTAGATACTAAATAGGTAACATGATTAGCCCTATATCTATTAAAGAAATTGAATTTGTAGTTAAAAACCTTACCACAAAGAAAATTCTAGATGGCTAGAAAGTGCACTAAAGGAAATGATGCCTAGATGGCTAGATGGCCACACAGTGAATGTTACCAAGTCTTAAAGGAACAAAGAATATCAATTCTATAAGACCTTTCCAGAAACTGAAGTTGGGAATTCTTTGCAACTTATTCTATATGGCCAGCATCACTCTGATATCAAAACCAGACAAAGTCATTATGAGAAGAGAAAATTTCAGACCAATATTCCTCTTGAACATAGATGCAAAAATTCTTAACAATTTTAGCAAATCTAATATGAGAATATATAAAAAGGATACTACATCATGACCAAGTGAATTTTATCCCAGAAATGCAAGGTTGGTATAACATTTGAAAATTAATTGATGTAATTCATCATATTAACAAACTAAAAAAGAACCACATGATCATATCAATAAATATGAAAAGAAGTATTTGACAAAATTCAACACACGTTCATGATAAAAATTTTCAGCAAACTCAGGATAGAAAGTAACTTCCTTAATCTATTAAAGGGTATCTATTATAAACCCACAGTAAACATCATACTTAATGGTGAGAGGGAAATGCCTTCCTCTTAAGAATAGGAACATGGCAAGGGTGTCTGCTCTCAGCACTTATTTTCAGCATTACACTGGAGGATCTAGCCACTGCAATAAGGCAAGATAAAAATAAATAAAAGACTTCCAGATTGTAAAGGAGAAAGTAAAAACAGCCTTTATTTGCATAAGACATGATCATCTATGTAGATAATTCTGTTAAATTTATTTTAAAAACTATCACTAGAAATAGGCTAGGCTCAGTGCCTAATACTGGAACTTTGGGAGACTGAGGCAGGAGGATTGCTTAAGCCCGGGAACTCAAGGCTGCAATGACCTGTGATATCACCACAGGTCTCTCACCTGGATGACAGAGCGAGACCATGTCTTACACATACACACACACACCCCCCCCCCACAGAAAAACTATCACAGAAATAATGCACAATATACTAAAGTTATATTTCTATATACTAGCAACAAAACAAACAGAAGTTGAAATTAAGAAAAAATACAATTTACAACAGCATGAAAAATGAAATTCTTAGGGTTAAATCAGACAAAAGTCAAACTTTTATAATGAAAAGCACAAAACATCACTCAGAGAGATAAAATAAGACCCAAATAAATATACTGCGTTCATGGATCAGAAGACTCAATATAGGTAAGATGTCCATTCTTCTCAAATTGGTATATACATTCAATGTAATCCCAATCAAAATCACAGCATGCTCTGTGTGTGTGTAGATAATGACAAATCAGTTTTACGATCGCATGAAACTACAATCCTAAAACAACTTTGAAAAAGAATAATATTGGAAGGCTTACAGTACATGTCTTCAAGAGTTACTATAAAACTACAGTATTTAAGACAGTGTGGTATTAGTCTAAAGAAAGCAAATAGATCAGTGTAACAGAACAGAGAATCCAGAAATAGACTTGCACATGTATGGTTAACTGATCTCTGACAATGGTGCAAAGACAAGTCAATAGACAAATGACAGTGTTTTCAACAAATGATGCTGGAAAAATTAGATATCCATATGCAATAAAATAAAATTTGATCGTTTCATATGTTATAAAAATAAACTCAAAAAGGACTACATATCAAAATGTAAAGCTTGAACATGTAAAATTTCTAGAAGAAAATATATAAGAAAACTTTTGTGAACCAGGCTAGTCAGAGATTCCTTATGTACAACACAAAAACATGACCCGTAAGACAAAACTGATAAATTAGACTTTATTGAAATAAAAAACTTTTGTTCTTTGAAATACCCTTTTTAGAAAACAAAAAGACAGCTGTAGACTGGGAGAAAATATTTTCAAACCTGAAGGAGTTGTATCCATAGTATATAAAGAACTGTCAAAACTCAATAATAAATTCAGTTAGGAAACAGGAAAAAACTTGAACAGACACCTCATTTAGGAAGATCTGGATGGAAAAGAAACATAAGAAAAGTTTCTCAACATCTTTAGTTAGTAGAGAAATAAATGCAAATTAAAACCACAAGAAGATATCACTTTAAACATTTATATATAAATGTTTAAACTTAAAAACACAGACCATATGAAATGATGGCGAGGATACAGAGCAACTAGAACTCTGAAACCCCGCTGGTGGGAATATAAAATAGTACAACACTGTAAAACAATGCGGCAGTTTTTAAAGCACATACACAATTCTATGACTTGGCCATTCCACTCCTAGGCACTAACCCATAAGAAAACATGTCCATACAAAGACTTGTACACAATAGCAGCTTTATTTGAAACAATTCAAAACTGGAAGCAGTCCAAATACCTGTTAAAAGGTAAATAAATTGTGTTATCTTCACGCAACGGAATAGTAACAGCAATAAAACCCAACAAACTCTTGATACATAGGACAAAATTTATCAATCAAAATAATTATGCTATTGGAAAGAAGCTAGATTAAATGTACATACTGTATGATTCTAGTGGCGTAAAATTCTAGAAAACGCAAACTAATGTATGGTGACAGAAAGCAGAACGGGAGCTGGGAGGAGTCAGGTATTATAATCAAGCATGAGGAAACTTTGAGGTGATAGAAAAGTTTATCTTAATTGTGGGGGTGATTTCAACAGTGTATACATATGTTCACCCTTAACAAATTATGCACTTTTTTGATATCTGCAGTTTATTGTACTTTACACTTCAAGCTGTTAAAAATTAACCAGATATAATTTTCAATTGTGTAAGGCTTGCCACAAAGCATAATATCTGCAAAGAAGCAGACAGCTAATTTTTTCCTCTTAAGATTGTGGAAAAAGTTGTAACGCTAGAGAGAGCTGTGGAATCTAGGGATGAATTGACCAACGCTTGTAAAGCTACTAATCTGAAAAACACATTTTCAGTTACCAAAGTTATTTTCTCTTTTCCATCGTGTAAATAGAATGTCGGGGTTCTTCTAATTTGGGTGTTTCTAAAATTTAAATCCACGTGAACAGATTAGGAAAGGCCACGAAATCCTACGTCACCTCTAACGTCACTGCTTGAAGCCTTGTGAAAGGAACTGGCCATGGACCCCACCCCAGCCTATAAATCACCAGGGCGCAGCCTCAGTGCGTGGGGTCGGCAGCCGCCAGCGTCAGGCCGCTCCCCGCACGCTTCTAACTAGGCGGTAGGCCGTGGCTGCCACGTGACTCCCGCTAGCACCGGATGATGGCGCAGCGCTGTGCACGCAGGCGCAGTGTGGGGCCTTTGCGGCCAAAGCTCGCGCGGTAAGCTTCTGCACGTGTGCTACGGCGGGCGGAGGGCCGAGAGCCCAGTATGTGGGGCCAGGGTCACTTTTCTAGAGCTTCTGCAACGGAAAGTGTGAGGTCAGTAGTAGTTTTTGTGGTACGTGCAGTGGTGGCCGCTTCAAGGACTGTTTTCGTCGCTGCTTGCGTTTTAGGTCTCCTATCCTGGGGACGAGGCCCATTTCAGGGTTTTCTGTCACCTTCGAGCCGCCCGCCACCCCAGAGGAGTGTCAGATGCCCCAGTTTTTGAGTGCGTGCAGGCAGGCGAAACTGGCTTGAAAAAACCTTGGGCCTGAATAAGTTCCATGAAGACGAGGTCACGCAGCCTGCACACTCTCTTCCCCTTCTGGAAAATTCTTTGCCATTTGTTTCAAAATCCCTTGTAAAATAAGTGTCAGAGAGCTACGTGTACCCATCTCTTCCAAATTTTCATCACGAAGTGGAGATTTGGGTGTACCATTTGGTGATCTCTGTTTGCAGAAAGTGTATGGCATCAGTTCCTTCATAATCAGGGCGAGTCATTTTAAAGTAAGATTTAAAAACTATTGTAGAAGTAGCTTCTTGGAGTGTGTGGAGAGATTTCCAAAGTAATTTTAACTTTTACTGAATTTAAGCCTTAATGCCTTCCATGGGAATATATAGTCTCCCTAAAAGGTTTTACAGCTTTTCGGTCAGTTGAATTTAAAAACTACTTTTTGACCAGTAGAAAAGAACCCTTGTTTTGGAGACATTTTCATGCCACTTACGAAACATTTTTTTAAAAAAATTAAGTTGTAACAAAAGTAATCCATTTTAAAAATTTTATCTTTCTGTGATGAGGAGTTAATGTTTCCCTTTTCATAATGAGAGAGCATTTGAAACTTCAGTGTAGTGGTGTTCCTAGACAACTCTTAAAGCTCTTAAAAAATTGCGGTGGCTTAGGCCTGTAATCCCAGCACTTTGGGAGGCCGAGGTGGGCAAATCACTAGGTCAGGAGTCCGAGACCAGCCTGGCCAACATGGTGAAACCCTGTCTCTACTAAAAATACAAAAATTAGCCGGGCGTGGTGGCATGCGCCGGTATTCTCAGCTACTTGGGAGGGTGAGGCAGGAGAATTGCTTGAACCCGGGAAGTGGAGGTTGCAGTGAGCCGAGATTGTGCCACTGCTCTCCAGCCGGAGCGACAGAGCAAGACTTCGTTTGGGGTAAAAAAAAAAAAAAATCAAAAATCTGTATTTTAATTTTTCTTCAACATTTGTAAATGGAAAGTGCAATGTTCTATTATGTTACAGATAAAATTAGTAGTGTACATTTATTTTGGAATATTTTTGCATGTGATAAAGTGTAATATGTAATGAAAATTGTTTTTGAAGTAATAGGCAAAATTCTATGTATTTTGCAGTCTTTCATCCCATGGAATCTTCAAAAATAGTAACCACCATGCCTTCTACATAAAATAGACTAGCAGTTTAAAGCATTTGTTCTATTATTCTTTGTTTATGTTGTGGAAGTCCTTTTTATGGGAGGATATTTTCTAAAAAAGAATATGTACATTGTTTCAAAGTGTTGATTTATGTAAGTGATCAAAATGTATATGAGTTGTTCATTATAAATTTGTAAAAGTTTGGCTAAAGAGATAATTTTAAGGATAGAGATTAAATATGATAAAATTGTATATACTACAAAATACTCAAAAGAGTTATTGAAGGAAATATTGAGTTCATTTTTAATATAGAGTTTGAATTTTGATGCTGCATTTAGGATAAAACATTTGTAAGAATTGAACATGACGTAGTTTAGTCTTCATTCATTTTTAATGGATGGATTATTATAATCTAATTTAAGGTATTGAATTGTTCTAGTTTTTCAGGAATTGTCCAAATGGATGAAGATACACATTACGATAAAGGTACTGACACTAAAAATTATTTTGGGGTGTTAACAGCTAGATGGTACTGATTAATTTCTAATTTTCTTTGTATTGTGATTTGATTTTAGTGGAAGATGTGGTTGGAAGTCACATAGAAGATGCAGTAACGTTTTGGGCCCAGGTAAATAACAAACTGGTTGATATCCCCCCTCATCTCCCCCAATCCAGTTCCTCCTCAACAAAAACAAAATAAAATCCAGGAATAAATATATTTATTATTCTCATTGCCTAATATTTATTGAATTATTTATCACCAGGCATTATTAGAAGACAGATGTCGACAGCTGTGACGTTACTTGACACATGAATATTATGCGCATAATACACCAAGTTTAAAAAAAGAAAATTGGCAAGATTGTGATTTCAGAATTCCACTCAATTGTAGGCTGCTTTTGCTGGAGTCTGAGAGCCTGTTGTATTTGTGAAATTATAGCCCCATCTAGGGGTCTTTTATAAGATTGTTTCTTGAAGGAGGATAAGTTTTTAAAATCTTGGTCTTTTCTTCTAATGGCTTAAATTTGAGATATGGTATTTTTCCTCCTTATAAAATTGGAAGCATGAATGAAACATTTCTGATTTTCTGTTGGGAGGCTGTTGGTTAGGTAAGGTTACTCAGTTTTAAATACAAAGCAAGCACAAAGGGCTGTGTTCCACAATTTAAGAAGGTGAATTCCTGTAATGCACAGAATGATCCGCTAATTTTTGGTTTTGTAAACTATACATGGTATGGAAGGGAAAGAAATTACATTTCTCTGTACTCCCTACAGCATGGGAACTCCTTTTGGTGGGGGGTGAGGTGAACTCATAATGTGGGAAATAGGAGAATATATGAGAAGAAAGTTCTAGAAGAATATGATTAACCCAGAGTTCTTAAATATACAGTCATGCATCACTTAATGACTGGGATACATACAGAGAAACGCATCATTAGGCAACTTTTTTGCTGTATGAACATCGTAGAATGTACTTAGAGAAACCTTGATGATATAGCCTACTACATACCTAGGCAGTGTGGTGTACCTGTACCCCATGTTACTGTACTGAATGCTGCAGACAGTTGTAATACAATGGTAAGTCTTTATGTATCTAAATATAAAGATACAGTAAAAATATTTTATAAAAGATTGAAAAATGGTACACCTGTATAGGGCACTTACCGTGAACTGAGCTTGCAGGATTAGAAATTGCTTTGGGTGAGTCATTGAGTGAGTAGTGAGGAATGTGAGGTCCTGGGACATTACCGTATACTACTGTATACTTTATAAATACCATACACTTAGGCTACACTAAATTTATAAAAATATTTTTCTTCAGTAAACCTTAGCTTACTGTAACTTTTAATAAACTTTTGACTCATTTGTGATAACATAGCTTAAAACAAACATTGTAGAGCTGTGCAAAAATATTCTTTATGTCCTTATTCTAAAGCTTTTTTTCTCTTTTTAAGAAACTTTTAATTTTTTTACTTTAAAATCTTTTTGGCTAAAAACGAAGACACAAGATCATCAATATCACTGTCTTTCACCTCCACTTCTTGTCCTTCTAGAAGGTCTTCAGAGTCAGTAACGTGCATGGAGCTGTCATCTTCTGTGATAATAATGCCCTTTTGGAATATCTTCAGAAGGACTTGAGGTGGCTGTACAAGTAACTTTTTTAAATGGGTAGGAGGAGTACACTAAAAATAGTAAAAAAAAATATACACACACACCAATGACATAGTTGTTTATTTTCATTACCAAGTATTATGTACTGTACATAATTGTATGTGCTGTGCTTTTGTAAGACTGGGGCACAGTAGGTTTACACCAGCATCACCACAAATATGTGAGTAATGCATTGTTCTATGATGTTACGATGGCTAGGACTACACTAGGCAATAGGAATTTTTCAGCTTCATTATAATCTTATGGGACTACTGCAGTAGTATGTGGTTCATTCTTGACTACAATGTCACTATGTGGGGCATGGCTGCATGTAATAAAACATTGCGGAAGGGTGATGTTATAGAAAACTTGGGGCAAATTCGTGTGTCTGCTTATGCACATGTATTTGGCAAATTTGTTTCTGCTTATGCATATTGTCTAAAGGTTGCTCACACGTTGCTGGTTCCATGCCCATTGTCTCTGTATTAGTGACAGCTGCATCACTCTCAACAGTGTCCCAGGTTGGATGATAAATTATATTTAAGCTTATTTTATAGAAACATCATTTATCAGTGTAAAAAGATTTTCTAGACTAGTGCTGTCTAGTAGAAATATATGAGCCACGAAAGTAATTTTAAAACATTTTTGGCAGCCACATTGAAGAAACTAAAAATAGCAGGTGATATTTTAATAAATACATTTTATTTAACTCGATATATCCAAAATATTGTTTCAAAATATAATTAGCATGGAAATGTAAACAGGATAGTTTATATTTCCTTTTTAATAGTCTTTGAAATCCAGTGTGTGTATTAGACTTAGAGCATATCTACTTAGACTAGCCACATTTTAAGTGGGTATTGGCTGTTGTATTCAGTAGTGCAGCTCTAGACTTTGATTTCAGTTTACTTTATTTGTGAAGATGTTGATTGAATTTGGAGCAAATTCAAGAGTCAGCAAATTTTTTTTCTGTAAAGTATCAGATGATGAGTAGTTTACCATTTTTAGCCCATACAGTTTCTTTTGCAGCTATTCAACTCTGCCAACATAGTGCATAGCAGCCATAGACAAAATGTGAATGAGTGTGTGTAGCTGTGATGCAGTGAACTTTATTTACTAAAACAGGTGGCTGTAATTTGCCAACCTCTGAGTTAAACCATGAAGTTGAGGCGCTTGCAGAAGAACATTTAAAACAGGAAACATGCACATGAAAAGATTAAACATTAAAACTACTGACGGTGTGTAAATGAATGCAGTGGTTATTTCAGGAAGCAAATTGGCAAATTTGGTTGGGGTTAGGGTGGGATGTAGACATAGAGAAGACTAGAGATTTGGAAATATGGGTAGGCAGATTAGGATGAAAATCTGCTCACATATGTTCTCCATTTTTTGCCCTGTGGGCTTCTGCCTTATAAACCACTTATAAGCAAACACTTCAGATTGGATGGGTGGCAGCTGAAGGAATCTGAAGTATTTGACTCCACCTGTTTCTTTGAAAGAAAGAGCTTCTGGTCAGGCATGGTGGCTCAGGCCTATAATCTCAACACTCTGGGAGACCTATGTGAGAGGATCGCCGGAGCCCAGGAGTTTGAGACCAACCTTGGCAACATAGTGAGACCTTGTCGCTCCAAAAAAAAAAAAAGAAAAAAAATTAGCCAGGCATGGTGCATGCCTGTGTTCCCAGCTGTGTGGGAGGCTGAGGGTGGTAGGATTGCTTGGGCCCAGGAGATTGAGACTGCAGTGAGCTGAGATTGTGCCCAACAAACAAAAAAAGAACTCCTGTTTGTTTTAGTCTGTATAGTGAAAAAAAAAAAATGGAATATTTTGATTCTAGGGGTTTGTTCACAAAGGTTGCCTCTGTTGTTTCTCAGGGTCGGTTTAAATTCAGTTCCTCTTCTATGCTGAGACTTTGATATTCATCATGATGTTCTTTGAACTGCTCTTTCAGAGTTTTTTTTTTCAGTCATCACGGATAGTCATGTTCTTTCTAGCATTATTGAATATTTCGTTGGTGTATTTCTTTAGAACACATATATATATTTAACATTTTATTTTGAAGAAACTTTGACTTACAGGAATGTTGCAAAATTAGTACAGAGGCTACACCCAGCTTCCCTTAATGCTAATGTGTTATATAACCACAGTACAATGATCAAAAGCAGGAAATTAACATTAGTACAATGCTGTTAACTAAACTATAGCCCTTATTTAAATTTTAGCAGTTTTTTGTATTTTTGTGTTCCAGGATCCAATGTGGAATCCCGAATTGTATTTAGTTGTATATCCTTGGTTTCCTTTAACCTCTGAATGTTCCTCAATTTTTCCTTGTATTTCAAGACTTTTGACACTTTTGATGAATATTAGTTATTTTGTAGAGTATCCTTTAATTTGGGTTTGTTTGATGATTTCTTATAAATAGATTAGCAAGAGTTCCACAGAAGTGATATTGTAGTCCTCTCAGTACATCATTATTGGGGTTTCATGATGTGATATACCTTCTTATTGATGATAACCTTGATTCACTTGGGTAGGGTGACAATTTCCAGGTTTTTTCACTGTAAAGTTACTCTTTTTTCTTTTGTAATTAATAAATGTTTTAGGAGACTTATTGAGGCTGTCTAATCCAGTTTCTCTTCAACTTTTCACCCACAAATTTTACTGTTTATTGCTGTAGTGCTTGCCTAATGATGATTTTCTATTCCCCTCATTCCTTCCACATCTAGTAATTGGAATTCTTCTATGAGGAAGAGCTGTCTTTTCTCTGCCATTTATTTATTCAATTATTTATAATAATATAAACTCATGGATATTTATTCCATGGGTTGTAATCCTATGCTATCATTATTTATTTTGTTGTTTAAATTATTCAGCCTTGGCCATTGGGACAAAGTTCACCAAAGAACACAAATTGGTACTTGTCCTTAAAGATGTCCTATTCTTTTTTTGAGCACTTTTTTGTTTTTTGTTTTTTTTGAGACAGGGTCTCTGTCACCAAGGCTGGAGTGCAGTGGTGTGATAATGGCTCACTGTAGTCTCGAACTTCTGGGCTCAAGCAATCCTCCCACCTCATCTTCCTGTGTGGTTGGGACTATAGGCGCACACTACCATGCCTGGTTAATTTTTTGTATTTTTTTTTTTTTGTAGAAACAGGGTTTCACCATGTTGCCAAGCTGGTCTCAAACTCCCCGGCTCAAAAATGATCCTCCCACCTCGGCCCTCCAAAGTGCTGGGATTACAGGTGTGAGCCATCACAACCAGTTTTTTAAAAATTATTTATTTATTTATTTTTTATTTTTAGCGTTGTTTTACTTTCTGACACCATCAAATATTCCAGGATCATCTTTTATTTCCCAGTTTGAGCTCTGCAATCAAATAGATCTTTAAGGAATCTTTTCCATATGATTTAATTATATTTGGTATCTTGTTTGAATTCTACCTAATTTGAACTCATTGGGAAGTAAACTTTTTATATGGCCTAGTCTCATTTCTTATAAATAACTCATTTAAATTATGAAAAAATACAGACATAAGAACTTGATTTAATTTCTAATGGCCTAAAATCTTTTATCATGCTTAGAACCCTCAAGTGTGTAACACTATAATATAGTATTTTACTGTATCTTATATCTGATCTTTCTAGAGTATCAATAGAAATAAGGATATCATGAAGATTGGTTGCTCACTGTCCGAAGTTTGTCCCCAGGCCAGTTCAGTTTTGGGAAATCTTGACCCAAAGAAGGTGAGCCATATTCTTGAATATAATTATTTCATTCCTCCTGTCAGCTTTCCTATGTGTTAGATATTTAGTTTTTGGAATTTTTGGTATATTTGAAATGAAGAGGCTGGTTTTTAGAATTTGTATAAACTACTGTTATGGTAAATTTATTAATTCAAAAATACTTATGAACTGAATATTACTCAGTCTTGAAAGGAAATTTGATGTAAGCTACAACATGGATGCATCTTCAGGACATTAGCTAAATAAAATACGCCAGTCACAAAAGGACAGATACTGTTATGGTTCTACTCACATGAAGACTTTGAGTAGTCAAAATCGTAGAGACAGAAAAAATGAATGATGGTTACCAGGGACTGGGGGAAGATTGGGGATGGGGAGTTGTTGATTAATGGGTGTAGAGTTTCAGTTTTACAAGATGAAAAGAGCTATGGAGATGGATGATGAATGGTGGCGAAGGTTGCAAAACAGTATGAATGTACGTAATGCCACTGAACAGTAGACTTAACCATGGTCAAAATAGTCAATTTTATGTTATGTATAGTTTCCTACAGTTAAAAATAGGAAAAAATAGAATAAAAGCCACACTCTTCTAGCCAAAAAACAAAAGTGAAGAAAACGTATGTACCATCTGCCATGTACCTGGCACTGTATTGAGCATTAAGTGTGCAGTGGTGAACAAAATAGATTCCTTGCCTTTGACTTTGATTCACAAAAAATTTGTAAGATGCATCTTCATGCAGAACAATTTGGCTATCTTATTTCTTTTTTTACTGAGGTATAACTTGTGTATAGTAAGGTATATATATCTCTTAAGATCTTAAGTATATAGCTTGGTGAATTTTTACATATGTATGTATCCATGTAACAACCATCCAGATCAACATATGATTCCATCATTTCAGAAAATTCCTTCAGGCCCCTTCTCAGTCAATTCTTAGTCAGTAGTTTCTCCATCAGAGATATAACCATCATTCTTACTGTATCACCATAGATTCAGCTGTCTGTTCTTAAATCATGCAGTATGTACTTTATTTTATGTATCTGGCTTCTTTTGTTTAACATAATTTCTGAGATTCATTTATATTGTTGTGTGTATTAGTGTATTGGTAGTCTGTTCTTTTTAAAGCTATTTAGCATTCATTGTATACATATAACACACTTTATTGATCTGTTCTCCTTTGATGGGCATTTGGATTTTTTTTGCAGTTTTTAACTACTCTGAATGAAACTGCTATGAAATCCTTATGTAAATCTTCTGCTGGATGTATTGACTCATTTCTTTTGCACATATATCTAGAGTAGAGTTGCTAAATCATAGGGTAGGCATGTTTCTGCCAAAGTAGATACTGCCAAACAGCTTTACAAAAGTGTTGAACCAATTTACATCCTTATCAGCAATTTATGAGAGTTGTAGTTCCTCCATGTCCTCACCAGCCCCCTGCATTGCTAGTGTACTGAAGTTGTGTTTTAATATTTTTGTTAGCCCTTTGCAAGGGCTCTTGTGAAGTACCTATTCACATCTTTTCCCCATTTTTAAATTAGGTTATTTGTCTTGATTGATTTGTAGGCATTCTGTATGTTTTTTTCACTTTAATTTTTATTTCTTATTTCTACCTCTTAAAGTCAATGATAAAGTCACAACTGTAAAATGAATGCATTTAAAAAATAAAAGATATATTTCAATGACAAAAGGTATGCAATGATCATGAAAATCTACTGTACACTTTGCCAAGGCCAAAGAAGGAAAGACAATATGAAAAAGCCAATCTTCAAATATATCCTCAACAAAAACTCCCTCCTAAATAGTAAAATCATCATTTAAGAATATGTGTCTTTACACATCTAAACAGCAGCTCCAACCAAAAAAAAGCGGGGGGAATAGGTCAGATGATAACTCTCCCCAAGGTTTCCAGATACAAACGTGGTCACCAGGAATTCAAGATTAAACTTCTAAAGCAACATTTAACTCAAAATAAAATGAACATTTCTGACAGATGACAACAGTAGTATAAAACTGATTTTTTCCTTTCCTAGATAGAAATGAGATGGGGCATTTCGGTAATCATCTAAGAATAACTGTAGAAATACTCCCAATTCTGCCACCCCACCCACTGGTATAAAACAAATACCTTCCATGAAAGTGTCTTTCACATTACTAAAATATCCTCACTTACTTGGGACAGTTTCATGCTTAGATGAGTACAAACACTTGTTTTTAGATGTGTGGAATGATTGGAGCTGAGATTTTTGAAACAATATCTTAATCTTAGCAGAGATATAATAATCCTTTCACTATACATTGATTGGGCTTCCTTAACCAAATCTGAACAACTACTGTAGTAACAATGCTCGTGGTAGTCCCTGATACTCTCAAATTTTTTCTCTTTAAGAAAAGTATAATCCATGTAACACTAGTAAATATGTTACATTGTATACCTTCTTAACAAAGAATGACTGTTTTCAGGCCTTACTAGGAAAACAAACAATGGCAGTTACTGACTGTTTTTATCACTGATGAGCTACAGTAAAGCTCAAATGATGGATGGTTTACGTGTGTAATATTAAGTACAAAATGAAAACCATTATAATTTTACCAAAAGAAACACAAAAAATATGAGAAGTGAAATGAACATGGTGTGGATCCCAAAGATTACAATATGATTCGGAACAGGATTTTCAAAACAAACAATTTCTGTGAATATTTCATATACGGGAAAGATCCAAAGCAAATCTAAGCAAGCTTAGCCCTACCTTGTCAAAGATAAATACTCAGATAAGTTAGAAGTTCCGTTTGCTAAAGTGCATCTGCTGATCAGATCTACCCTGCTACTTAGAGCCAGCCAGGAAGGTGGCTATCACTCATGCTCATTCCGTCTTTCTGTGTCTTATCAAGAGTCACACATAACAATTTTTTTTTCAAACCAAATGCTTTATACAGTGAACTACAGAAAAAACAATCCTAAATATACTTTTAAAATGCTAGGAAGTTAAGATAACCTCATTTTTAAAAAATACTGAAAATGTAAAGGGTCCATACCAAATAAGAGTTGTATTAAGTATATACTTTCTATTTTAATAATTCACTTGCTGTGTTCTTAAAATGAGAGAAGCAGATATTTCACCCATGTCTTTTGGCAAGAGATTCAAAAGCAGAAGTATCAGGGCTATAAAATTTCATAAAATTTGTGGGATTTTTAAAGCTAAATTATTCAATATCTTGTATTGTTATTGCACCCATATATTGCCCTGGAATATATGTACAGCAACCCAGCAACAGTGACTGCAACAAAAGTAAGGTAAATAGGTCTACAAAGCATTAGATTTCGTTATTAAAGTTTTCATAGAGGAAATGCAAACAACTGCAATTCAGATCACATTATATAAACTTGACAGTTATTTAAACCTTATATAAAATTAAATCTAACCCTTACCACTACAAATCTGTAAGGAATCAGAAAAGGATTTATAGTACACAAATCTTGACTACTGTTGCATTCCACTTGGAAATCACTCTGAGCTAAAAAAGCATTCTTCCAAGATTTAAAGAAAAATATATTTTATAAAAGGGATTCTTTTATTTTTGTTACTGACAGAAACAAGTTTTGCTTTTTCCCACTATAATTCGCTCTGATGAAAGAAGTAATTCTCTCTCTTAATTCCTAACAAAAACAAACGCTACGTTTTCAAGACTAAAGGAATTACTGGTAGGCATTCTTTCTCCTTGATCTAAATTATTTGTCTCTAAAATATGTCAAGTAAGCTTCTAAAGATTCAGGGAGGGGCAGAGTTGTGATATTTTTTCTCTCAGTAAATTTTGAGGTGGCTCTTCTGGCTTCATTGCTTCACTGTGATCTTTTTCTTCCTCTTCTTTGTTACCTTCTTCCATTTTTTTCATCCTCCTCTCTGTCTAGAGACTGAGGAATAAGCTGATTACCCACAAATATGTACATATTAATTCTCTGTTTAACTCTCTTTTTTTTTTCTTTTTCGGTAGAGCCCTTTGAGGAATCCCCTTGGCCTGCATCTCATCATTTATGCAATTTCTAAATGTGCGTCGAATGTAAATACAAGCCAAATCCTGTAGATTCCTGACAGCACAGGGAGGGAGTCCCACAGAATCTGGTTTGCCATTATCATTCTTACTTGGTTGCACAAGTGGAGCAAATGACAAAACAAGGATATTTTTCCTTTCCCAAGTGTTTTGCCCGGTTCTGTGTTAACGGATCCTCTATAGGCGTGACTAATATGCCTCCAACTTATAGTAGTATTTTCATGGTCTTTCTGGACTCCAGCTCCACAGTAAATTCCGTCATACCGATGACTATCAGATGCTATCTGGAGGCAATTACTGACGACAAATGCAGGTTCACAGAACTCAAATCTCAGCAGTGGTTTTCTTTATACGTGAGTGTTGGAATATCTTCATCTTCAGATGGACAGATGATTTCACTTACAGTGGGGGCTTGCCAACTTGCACATATAATTCTTTTGATGAGCTGCTAGGAGATCAGAGTGACCTAGCCTTGCCCTGTAACTTCCCTCTTAGTTGGATAGTCTAGGTCTAGGAGCTGATTATCAAAGCTATCACTATTTTTGATGAAGCTCTGCAGTTTTTCCTTGGCATATTCCACCACATCTGGATGAGGCCCAATCCCGTGGTTTATTCCAAAAGGATCTGTGGTGCAGTGGTTGGTCCGGCCCACTGCAGCGCTGAGCAGACCAGGTGCTGGTAGTTGGTGGGGTCTGTGGCAGCCGGATGCTGCTACCACCACAACAGCACAGCCACCGCCGGTGCCGAGGGGAGCGAATTGGTGGGGCAGGGACCTCTCTATGTGTTTTTTATATATGTTTTTTTGAGATGAAGTCTCTTGTCGCCCAGGCTGGAGTGCAGTGGTGCGATCATGGCTCACTACAGTCTCAACCTATTGGGCTCAAGTGATCTTTCCACCTCAGCCTTCCAAGTACCTGGGACTAAAGGTGTGTGCCACCATGCCCAGCTA